GCTGGACAACTGTAGTCTCTAGCGTCATTCGCAATACGCGTGGAAAGCCACGTGGCTTCAGTGAATACTGAAATCCGATTTTACAATCGTCGTTGCGATTGTGTTTACAATAGTTTTTTTTAGTAATTAGTGTCAAAAATGGCTTGTGTGTATAGCAACTCGAAGTTGTTGGATATCGTTTTAATTTTTGGATAAGTTCTGAGTCACCCTGTATGTTTGTGACGCTTTTTTTGGGACGCCTTATAGCCTTTCACCGGTTTCACCCGGGTTTGATAAGCCATAGATAGAGAAAAATGCAAAAAATATTTTTAAAGGAACCCCATTTCCTAAAACCAGAGAAAAATTACGGGGTTGATTGTTGAATATTCCTAACGCTTTTTTCGGTACGCCTTGTAGCTTTTCACCGGTTCCACCCGGGTTCTGTCTATTAAAACCCTATTATCCCGGCTATTAACCTAAATTTGAGGTCGTACTCTACGTTAGGGAACGAATTTAAAGTTTAATTTTAGTTAAATCTCCACATCCAATTTTGCAGCGTTGCAAATTGTTTACCCTCTCCGGAAACGTAAGCGGAAGATAAATTATAGTTCCTTTAGGGGCACCCAACTCTATTTAGATAAAACCCGTGTCTAATCGACCGTGGTGCACCGAGAAATAATTGAAAATCTTCTAGGAAAATGTTATTTAATATTTCCAGCTCAGGAACATATTAAAAAGAAGTAAATGCATTTTCCTATATACGTATTGATTGTATCTTATTTTCTGTTATGTTTATTTAATGTCTATGTACCTGCCCTTGTCATTCTCGGGCTAGACTCTGTGGGCGCAGAATTCACCTGTAAGTTTCCTATTTCAAATTAATTACTAATACTATTTGTACTATGAGTATCAGTTATGTCCATATAAATGTAAAGATTATGAAAACTGTAATGTCGTTAATAAAAATGGAAAATAGAAGAGGGCCCAGATTAGAGCCCTGGGGTACTCCACTTTTACTGATAGGACTTAACTTTGTTATAAGTGACATGGTAAACGAATCGACAAGTACGAATTAAAAAAATTACCACAACAACCGTTTATTTCAAGTTTTTGTAGAAATATGTAGAAAATGGAAATTCAAATCCCATTTTACTATTTACGACACCTTAGTAGCCGCGGTTGGCATAATTATAGGTATCCTTGCTCATTCAACTGTTTGTTTCAAACAGAGATAATTTCTTGAAAAAATTACACGGTCTCCCATTCAACTAAAATTTTCGGTAAAATGAAACATTATACCGATTTTTAACAAGTATACCTTTTATGTAGAATAATCCACGGAATCAAAAAATGAACGCCAAATGATTATTGGGTCATTGCCATAGAAGTTGGGGTAAAAAATTCCCACTTTACTACACATTCCTACGCCACTGACCTTCAAAAGTTTGTAAATTTTACAGTAAATTATGCACAGGTGCAAATGTTAACACCACACCAAATTTGAAACAGTTTGTTATGAGCATACCAAAGATTTCGTAAATAATATAGACCTTTGCTTTATAAGGCAATTCTGAATTATTTATTGCGTTCTATTTGTGGTTAAAGTTTGGTTCACTCGAACTGAAACACCCCGTACAATATCCTTCCGTAGAATAACAACCACCTAACACTACCGAAAACACCATTAAATCTTGAACAATTCGCAGTTCCAGAATGCCATTGTGTGAAGCCACATGTCGACAGGGGAAATAAGTCCATCCTATTCGGAGCGCTGGCTGCTCCATTTTTTTTCAGTCTCTATAAAAAGATACACTGGGAACGAGATGGTCGCGTCGATTCAATTCTATGAAGGGTTCCAGTTCAGTGGCTTCCCTTTGTGCAGAGGTCACATTTGGCTTCCACGTTTCATCTAACCGACAGGATTACAACGCGTTACACCGGCCAGAGATAAATTAAAAATTGATTGGGGGAGTTTGTGTAGGCTCGTCCGCACGAGAATGTAATTCTGTCAGATATGTAAGCGGTACCGCTGTACCAGCAAAATAATCTTTGCTGCTGTTGCTGCTGTTGTTATCGTTTTTATTGACTCTATTGATAACAACAGCAACAGTTACAGCTACAACAACAGCAACAACACCAGTAGCAGCAGCAGGAACAACAGGACTGTTATAACATGTACAACAGCAGCAGCATCAGCAGCAACAGTGACAACTAAAGCACACTCCTTTAATCTTCGTATCCTCCTTACGCATACTGTCGACTAAGGAAACCAGTTCAAGTAACAAGATTTAAGAGCGTTATCAACATCGTTGCCTTAAATTAGATGTCGTTTTTATTGCTGTTATTGATCTTGCTGATGCTGCCGCTTCTGTTGTTGTTGTTGTCGTTGTTGTTGCCCTAGTAGTAGCAGTAGTAGTTGCAGGAGTAGTTGTTGTAGTTACCGCTGCTGTTGTTTTCGTTGTTATTGACTCTATTGATAACAACAGCTACAACAACAACAAAAACACCACCAGCGACAGCAGGAACAAAGACAGTGACAATTAAAATAGACTTAGATTTATCACACTGAACTAAATTTAAAAAGACAAACTAACATTAGATATAAAAATACAAGTACTACATAAAATAGAGCAACCAAAATATAAAATATAAAATCCAGACAAAAGAATTTAAGTGTTAATAAAAATATAAGTACTACACAAAATGGAGCAATCAAAATATAAAATCCAGACAAGGGAACTTAAGTGGAAACAATAACAGACAAATAAAACAAATAAACTAACAAGATAAGAATTACATTTGCTAGACAAACAATTTTTTTATGTCATTCATAGAATGAAAAAATATATCAAGTCGATCTTCGTACTTTTGATAATAGTACAGACATTAAAGCTTTTCACTTCCGAATTCTTTGAAACTGAACCGATCGACTTGAAATTTGGCAGATAGTTAGAGAAAAGGTCAAAGAACATTAGTGACTTAGCGTCGATTGACACTTTCACCCTGTTGGGGGTTGACACCCCTTCTCGGGGGTGGAAATTTTTTTCGAAAATAAATCGATAGAGAATCAAATTTTGAGCAAATTATATCCGAGGAATTTTTTCGAAAAATCAATAGTTTTTTAGTTATTTTAATTGGAGCAAAATTGAAGGAGTTATCGTGAAAAACAGATGGGTTGCTCATATTTTTTAAGGAAAAATGAGCAGTAAACGCCATTTCCATCAGAATTAAAATTAATCGTAGACCCTTTATAATTAGTTTTGTTTTAGTGTTTTTCATACGATCCTGAAGTTGGACCGGTTTAGAATGCGTATTTTTTTAATAATGTACGGTAAAAGTTAAAAACGTATTTTTCATTATTCAAAAAAAATTGCCTTATTTATATAATTACTCTGAAACTATGAAAGATACGTAAAAAATGATAGACAAGAAAAATTTAGCTTTTTTTTCAACAAATATTTTGCTTTCTTATTCCTATAGCATAAAAAATAAAGGAGATATCGCCGCTAAGTATCCAATTTAGTGAAAAAACAACCTGTCTCGAGCCCTTCGATCCTTTCCCTTTAAAAAACGAAGGACTTAAAAGGTTTTATATGTAAACGATCTTGCTCTTGAAATTATCTTTAAAATGCTTTTTGTAGGATACTATAGCTTCAAAATTAACCGAATTATGGTAAAAAAAACCAATTACATTTTTTCGGAGCAAAATATGCTTTCTCATTTTTATGTAAATTATATATTATATTATACAAATAAAATAAGTAAAAACATTTAGTGTGATTATTTATATGCAGCGTAGCAATTTTTTTATGATTGATTATATTTAAAAATCGATTATAATAAAAATATTTTACATTAATATTGGTAAAAGGGTAGTTTATAAGAGTTGAAAATGGCAAAAGTAAAATATTCTTTCATAAACAATATAAGGGAATTTTTATTTTAAATTATTGCACAATTATAGCATTCCAAGATTTAAAACGTAATTTTTTATCATTTTTTTAGCACAGGGGTGATTTATAAGGGTTGAAAAGTGTTATGAGATACAAATTCTTTCATAAGCAATGAGGGAATTTTTATTTTAAATAATTGCACCGTCAAAGCATTCCAAGCTTTTAAAAAGTAATTTCTTATCATTTTTATCAATACAGGGATGGTTTTTAGGGGTTGAAAGGGAAAAATTCATTTATTAGCTATAAGATAACTTTTATTTTAAAAAGTAATTTTTTATCATTATTTTTTGCATAGAGGTAGTTTTTAAGGGTTAAATAAAGGGTCGAAAAGATCAAATATATCATATAACATGTTCGAGAACATGGAACATTATTTAATCTTTGTGCAACAAGATTTTTATCAATAAAATGCTTAAAACTTAATTTTTTCAGTTTTTTTCACTTAGGGGTAGTTTCCACACCTAAAAAACAAAAAGCGTCAATCGGGCTTATGTCACTTTTGAACTTGAGCCTAAGATGAGCCTTATTCTAAATTTTCATGCAAATCCATGCAGTTTCAAAGAATTCTGAGGTTACAGCTGTTTTTCAGCTTCAATGCCTGTACCATAATTGGAAAGCATTTGATATAGGGGAGATTGTAAATTGGTACGAGGTGTGAGTAATTGTAAAGCAGAGTGAAATCTAGAATTAAGTCTAGGAACATGATATAAAATCCTTGAGACTAACGACTCTGCATTTAAAGTGTTATTTGTAATTTTGAAAAGGAATATAATTGAAAACATAATTCGCCTACGACAAAGACTTAAAATTAAAACAAGAAAGCAATTGAATCCTTGAGATGTACCACGAAGAGGATAAAATCCATAAATAATAAAATGAACAGTCTTTAAAAATCTCCGTTGTATTTTCTCTAATTGAACATTATATTACATTAAAAAAATTTTAATGATTGTCCTACTATTTTCTTAACATCGTATTTATTCGGTGGTGACGTTGCCCACGCCACAGTATCAGAGCCGCACAAAGGGCCTCTCCAGGTTCGAGTGGTACGTAAAAAAGGACCCTTACCTTGGTGAACAGGAGTATCTGGAGTGTCCTCTTGCGTCGCATTTTTTCTCTGATGCGGATGTCGGCCTGTATGCTTATAATGTAACGGGCAAGGACTGCGGATCGGACCAAATAATAAAAGTTGACGGCCACCAGGATACAGCTGGGAGCCAGGAGACCGTAGATGAAGGCGTTTCTGTCCAGGAACCTTAAAGAGAATAAAAGGACAATACAAGAACAATGTTTAAATTGGAAGAGGGCGTCCAAATAAAATTTATTTAAATACCAATAGGCTTTATGCATTTTGATGTTCTGAAACCGTATCTGAAGTCGGTTTGGCTCAAACGCACCCAAGATTTTGATTAATTGGCAAAAAATTGTGAAAAATCGGCGAAAATCACGTTAATGAGCGCAAAAAAAATTGTTCTGAACTTAAATAAGTGGGTTTTTGTTGTATTTAGATGTGCTAAATCCAAATCTTAGTTTTTTAACCTGGATCTCCCAGATTTTGCAGAAATCGCAAAATAATAGGGAAAAATCACTAAAAATAGTTAAAAATCGCCAAATATCACGTTAGTGACTGCAAAAAAATCGAATAAAAATTTTCTGACCTTACTCTGGACAAAGAAAGCGTATCAAAATACACGAGGAACACACTTAATCAAGGTCAGAAAAAAAATTTAAAACGCTCAGACCCGTTGATTTTAGATTAAAGTGGAACATTCTTTGCTGGTATTTTTGACTCCGCCACTTTCACCCCCAAGCAAGGGTGAGCACCACCCCTAAATATTTAAATAGCATTGGGGGTTGAGTAATATTTCTTTTGAAAACACTTACAATTCTCTTTACAACAGATTTTAAATTTTATAATTCCACCCAACACTTATTGAGAATTTTAATTTTAAAGTTGAAACTTATGTACAAACAATTAGTAACGGTAAAAATGTCAGTCATTCGAGTTAAGTACGCCAATGGTATAAATTTAGTATGTCTTGCGTTACATTGGTTTTTGGCGATTTGTTATTACTTTCGTAGAAAAAACACAATTGTAAAAAACAGAAATGAATGCTATACACTGACAAATCGTCAGAATTGCCGCTATTGGTCCGATTCAAACCCAAGAGCTTTTCACGAGGTGCATACACAGCAACCGGAAAAATTAAATGTATGGGCTGGAATTTTCGGTGACCGGCTGGTGGGTCCTTTTTTTCTACCTGGTAATTTGACTGGCCAAATGTATTTGCAATTACTGGAAGACGCTATTGACCCTGCCTTGACTGATATTATTGAAAATGTTCCAGAGTATGATGAAGATCATTTGATTTTTCAACAGGACGGTGCTCCTCCGCATTATGCGTTAATTGTCCGTCAGTATTTGGACCAACGTTTTCTACGGAATTGGATTGGGAGAAGAGGCAGCATTGAGTGGCCTCCACGATCACCGGATTTATCGCCCCTTGATTTCTTTTTGTGGGGATACCTAAAAAGTAAAATCTATAAAACACAGCCAGCGTCGCTGGAAGATTTGCGTCAAAGAATCGTCGACGAATGCCGTCGAATCACTCCGGAAATGCTTCGGAATGTGCGCGAACGTTTCGAACAAAATCTTTATTCTTGTATGGAAGCGGGCGGTCATCAGTTTGAACATTTAATCAACTAAGTAGTAAGTAAGCAACTAAACATAATTTAAATTTTAAAATGTAAATTTTTTTCAAAGTATTGGGCGGAATTATAAAATTTAAAGTCTGTTGTAAAGAGAATTGTAAGAGCTTTCAAAAGAAATATTACTCAACCCCCAATGCCATTTAAATATTTTGGGGTGATGCTTACCCTTGCTTGGGGGTGAAAGTGGCGGAGTCAAATATACCAGCAAAGAATGTCTCCCTTTAATCTAAAACCGACGAGTCTGAGCATTTTTCTACAGTCTTGACGCAGTTCCTGAAAATAGCTCTGTTTCATTTTCATTTGGCCACCCTGTATAAGAAACTCAGTTAATCAAGTTCAGAACAAATGTTTTCGATTTTTTTTGCGCTCACTAACTTGATTTTCGGCTACTGTTCTCTATTTTTGTCAATTACTCAAAATTTTGGGTGTGTTTGAGCTAGACTTCAGATTTGGATTTAGCACGTCAAAATACATAAAACCTATCGGGTCAAATCATATATCCCACTTTTTTGTGTGTGTCGGTGTTTTTAACTTCATTAAATTCGTTTTGTATGTTTTTCCATCCCATAAATAGACTACTCTTTTCATTACCAACGAACACGTCCTACTACTTCCCCCTGACATATAGGACGCTAATAGCCTTAAAATGTCAGAGAAAACCGCAGTTCTAGTGCAAAAAAAAACGTGGGCAGATCGCAGATCGAGCCGACGCGTAGGCGAGTTCGATTCATTAGATAAGTGACGCGGTGGGCAGTATCTCTTTCCTTCTGCCTGACTCCGTTGACATAACTCGGAATAGAGCGAACGAGGGTCGGCTAGGGCTCATTTCTCTTTGTAACCGATACTGTTTTGGCACGCTTCTTCGCTGTAATGAACGGTTTAGTTAGAGGTAAAACGACACTTGAACGTTAGTTGGAATTCGCGCCTATGCCGCAAAATACCTTTGCTGCTGCTTGAGATGGTAAGGGGGAATTCAAAGGGGATACCATTGAAGGCAGAAAGTAATTCCTTATACAATTATTGTCATTAGCGAGTGTATTAATTTAGGGGAGTAGCGTAGTCGTGAGCGTAGGGGACTTCTCAGACCTAAAATAGACAAAGACGTCATAATCACGTCATCCAACGTGTACGAAACAGGTTATACTGATTTAGAATTGAAAAAATGAAAGACGTCGTGCCAAATACAGAATAACTCTTCTCAGGTCTTGATTTCATGATACCTACGAAATATAAGTGACTATTCACGTATACATATTGCTTACAATCTTGGATATTACCTTCAGTAGTATAGAAGACGTGAAAAAGACGTGACGACGTCACAAAAACGTCATTATAAGTACGAAATAACTCCTAAGTCGAAGCGAATTATTAGTAAGTATATATTTTAGGGCAATTTTCTATTATACCTTCAATTTTACAAGGTAACATCCTTTTATCCACAGATGTAAACGTTCTAAATCATGAAAAACGTTATAGACGTCATAATGACGTCATCCAATGTACAGTCTGGTAGAAAAATGAACTGCTATTGATTATAATGTATTCAGGTTCACCGCTTTCTATGTTTTCATATTCTTAAACTAACACTTCTAATATCTACAAGGGACCAAAGTCGTCGATTTAACGTCATTTTAAGCATAAAGTAATTCTGATAAGAAAACCTATTATGAAGCATCTTATTTTAGTGTAATCTTGTATATTTTCTACAATATCTAGACACCAATATGTTATATCTATTAATCTAACCATTGGAAGGTCAAAAGATATTTACAAACGTCATAATAACGTCATTATAAGTATGAAATAATTCCTAAATGGAAACGAATTGTTAGGAAGTATTTTTTAGGGCTATCTTATTTATAGCACCTTAATTTTTTTATCCACAAATGTAAACGTTCTAAGGATTGAAAACTATAGTAGACGTCATAAAGACGTCATACAATGACAGAAGAATGTTTGGTAGAAAAATGAGCTATTACAGAAATATTTATTTTAATGTAATCATGTTCACCGCTTTCTATATTTTCATATTCTTAAACTAACACTTCTGATATCTACAAGGGACCGAAGTCGTCGATTTAACGTCATTTTAAGCACAAAATCAATGAAAACGATAGTAGACGTCATAAAAACGTCACACAATGTACAGGATCTATATCATAACAGTTTTAATATCTACGAGAGACTATAGTCGTCGTAATAACGTCATTTTAAACATATTCCTTATAAGAAAAACTATTATGAAGCATCTGATTTTAGCGTAAATCCGTTTATTTTCTACAAATGTCATGTATCCATAAATACAAGGACTAAAAGACCTATAAAGGATCAGATACGTCAGAATAACGTCATTCCAGGTACAAATGAGTTTCTGCGCAAAGGGAAATTACTAAAAATAATCTCTCCTACTGCAATCCTGCAATATTACTTTAAATATCACAGAAGTGGCGTCTTTTATCGTAAATGTAAACGTTCCAAGGCCTGAAAACGAGCAAGGACGTCATACTGACGTCATTCCATCGTACATGCACCACTTAATGCCTCAAAAGTCTCCCCGAGGCACGAAAGGCAAACCGAGAATATTAAATAAGAATAGGTAGATGCGGCGGAATCCACTCTAGCAGGAAGTTCAGAAGTTCAAACGGCACTTGCCTAGACTGCAAAACTTTGAAATTAATCAGAATGGGGCTATGGAAGTGCGGTAAAAAGTATACCGGGTTCGTTACTGATTTCCGTTAGAGTGCAGTCTCAGATTTGTTCTGCCATGGAAGTAGAAACAACAAACTCTAAGTAACCGGGATTGATTCAACTTTGTAAGTTTCCCGATTCAAAACGAGCGGAGGTATGTTTATACGGGTCAGGAATTACAATGAGGATAATACGAGTCTCCTTAATATGAAAATATTGTAATAATCGCGATGTTTGCTATATAGTAGGAAGCAATTTATAAAAAGTTTTTTGTAATAGGAAATCCAATGGCAACAAAACGCATACCCGGCAATCTGTTCTTCATTTAAAATTAATGGTTAAGCGTCAAAGCAATTTACTGACCTGTGTGAGCTGTTTGCCTGGAAATTTATCATAAATACGTGAGCAGAATTCGCATTGTATTCGCTGTACAATGCAATTAGAGCTCGAATTCCTTGCATCACCGACTAAGAGACTTGTACTAGTAAATAATGTTCTTACTGGGGAAATTAATGTAAAATATAGCGTAATATCGCTTCTATATTCAGAAATGAATAGTTTTGCTAACGCCAGCGAATAAAATAAAAATTGAGGACTCGAAAGCGACTTCGCAACTGAGTATCACAATATTTTTTCGTAAACTGTTTCATAATATTAAAATTGCCTAAAAAGAGAGTAAATATTTTAACTTTTACGGAAAATTAATTTAAGGTGTATCTCCATCTTTCACGGTTGTGCGACGGTAACCATGGCCACCACTGTAAACAGTTACAGATTCAGGGGCCAGCTACAAAACCTATGACCTATGTCATAATGTTAATGTCAGTTATGAAATTTGGTAAGTTTAATACATTT